TTTTTGTGGTTTTCCATTCCAAAATTCACTATTTTTTTTAAAATAAAAAGAAAAATCTTTGCTTACTTTTAGAAAAAAAATGTACTTTTACTTCATTTAAAAAAATAAATAAATAAAGGCTCTTGATCATCTTCAAGGAATGAATGCAAGTATGCAACCCAATCAATCTAATATGGTTTTGAGATGGTTAATTCGGTATGAGAATGCATAACTATCGGGCCTACAGTTCTCCAAACCTAACACAGCTCATCAACACGAGCGTGTAATGTTGAGCCTACAACGATTTATAGGCTTTTTAATTTTTTTGATTGAAGGCGCGTTTCATGGATCCCTATATTTGAGCGCAACATGACATAATTGTAGAAAATAGCATACGCATGGCATGACCGATATGTGTAAGCTGAAGTATTAACATGCCATATTATCCCTCTAAGCAAATCGATGTAATTTGATGCACATCTTAATTTTCTAAGTTATCATTTGAAGATGGAGACGTGATGTTTTGTTAAGATAATTAAACACTCAACTTATAACGTGGTCAAATTTTCATTCGTGCAATGATATATATTAAAAATAATTTGACTCATTTTTATATGTTTATCATATAATCGTGCAAAATTAAAAATATCTTATATTTTTTGAATAATTAGACATCTAACCCGAATATTTTTCAATTCTCCCCTCGTTTATTTGTTGCCAATAATCACTTTACTGATAGAGCGTCAATTTTTGCAGAAGCGTGTAACATTTCCTTCAAACTTCCTAATCCATCTGGAGAAACGTGCCAGTGAGGTCACATTGCTATACAGCATAACATTACCAAAACTTAGAAATAAAAAAAATAAGATCTTCCTACCCTACCCTACTTTCTGAAATTGGAGTTGTTATCTTTCTGACAAATGTCATGTGATTGTGGGGTTTTTTTCTTAGCTTTTAATGTAATAAAGTGAGTTATTTTTCTAGGCAGAAGCCATTACTTTTCACTCCAAGCATCACTATATACAGATTCATGCACCATTACCTCACTTCAATCCCTTTCGCATATTGACTCTCCATTTATGGCTACTCAAATTTATCTTCTCAACTCCAAACTAACCAATGACAGTGTAATATGTTTCGGGTTCGTAAGTAAATTAAATTTGTGTTATCACTCAGGGACGGATTCAGGACTAGATTACAGGTCAGGCTAATACGTAAAATAAAATAAAATTACACATGATTTTTTTTTTTTTTACATAATTTTTTTTTCTAACTAAAAAAAAAAAAATTAGTTGGGAACCAA